TAAAATTTAAATTCTTTAGTTAATCAAGAGAGATCTAATAAAGGTATTAATTACATTAGTTAGTTGAATGTGGCATTTAATATGTATTTTATTAATATTTTAACGTCTAAGCATTAAAGTGCTTTTATTGTTTGGATACAGAAGTGAAGGAGTGTTTTTTTTAAGTCAGTGTTTTTGCTATTAGATATTTGTTAATAGGAATTTGTTTATTTGTACTGCCACTGGAATTTTAAAAAATCAAGTTCTTTAGCTTTATTTTATACTTTCTTTTAGGGGAGTTAGAACAAAAACTAAGTATAAATTATGATTAGTTTAGTTTAATAAATAAAGCATTAATATTTAGAAGATTTGAACTTAACTTTAGTTTATAGTTTTGGTTTAGTTTATAATTTTGTTTTTAGCTTTGATTGCATTATTGCCCTATACTGGTTGCATTATTGCTCGATATATTTATTAAAATACAAAATGTTGCATGTTTAACCCTTTTTAATTTGCTCTCATTTTTTTTTTTTTTTTTTAGCATCTTCTGTTTCAAATGAAAATAGTGAGGTTATGCTAATTTTTTTTTTTAATAATTGCAAATGTATAATTTTTATTATATTCTTCTATTTGTAACTTTAGATTCCATATCATTCTATTATTATAAAACTTACCGCTCCCAACACCCAGGACCTCTCTCAGAGAGGTCCTTCAACTGGAGGGCTCATCCATTCCGGGCTGAATGGACGGCTCATCCATTCCGCCATTATCTTTCCAGGACCTCTCTCAGAGAGGTCCTTGGAAAGATAATGGCGGAATGGATGAGCCCTCCTTTAAATGGAGGGCTCATCCATACCGGGGTGTTGGGAGACACCGAAGAAAAAACAGCAACCAAAAGGCTTTAAATGTCTTCTATCAGTAGAGATATTTATGACTTTTTGGTTGCTGCTTTTTATTCTGTGTTTTTTTTTTTAATTTTGTAATTTTTTTCTTTTGTATTTTTTTTTAATTTTAATTTTATAATTTTTTTTTAAATATATATTATGTTGTATATTTGATTTGTTTTGATCTTTTTAAATGAAAATTTTAATTGTTTTCTCACCAATTAAACCTGAACTTTAAAATATTGTTGAATTGATTCATTATCCAATTATCATAATATAATGATGCTGCATTCTTTTGTTAAAAACAATTATTTGGTAGTTTCATTTATTGAACTCACTGCTTTTAAAATTTACCAAAACCTAAGGCAATATATTTAGCTATATAAATACAATTTATTTATCTCAATTCAATTCTTCATATTTTATGTTTATAGTTTGGCTCCTTGAAGCATTTTATGTTTTGCTTTTTTTATTATGAGTATGTTAAATTTTGTGATGTCTTTTAAATTAAACTAAAGTTTACTAAAAGCCAACATAATAATTACGTTTTTGAACAACACCAAAAAGAACATCTGCATTCCTACAGCAACTGCTGCAGTATCACAATAGGTTACCAAAAGCAGATATACTGTTTTCCAGTTGTTGTTTTTTTCATATATATCTACTTATCTATATAATACTATAGTACGATTGTTTATTTCTCATTAATTTTTTTTTTCTTTATCTTTAAGTGTTGATAATTTTGTTCTTCGAATGAGAAGAGTTAAACAAGTCGGCTTTCCATTAAAGATATTGGTTTCAAAATTGAACACCATTGGCAAAATGCTTACAAAATTAGGTAGTTTTTAAAAATCTGTTTTCTATTTAATACACTTTTTTTAAAATATACTTTTAAAATAGACTTTTTTAATATACTTTTCTATAACAATCCTACTAATATGGAATCACGTAGCTTTTTAAATATGTTTAATTGTCGTCCCTATCGATAATAAATATTTTAAATTATTTGATATGGTTTTCTTTACAATAGGCTATGCTTGGCTCCTCGGTGCTGTAAATGGTGGCTTCAACTTAGTTTTTTTAAGAAAAATGTGTTTTATATGTCTCTGTTTTAAAATATTTTTGTTACATATTTAACTATATATCGTGTAAATAAATTTCTTTTAAAGATATGTAAACTTGATACTTGCTTTTTTACGAATTTTCAAAAAGTAAACAAAGCTTTAAATATATTTTTTAACTGTCTTATATGATTTTAACAACTTTATTAAAGCTGAATAATTACTTCGAAAATATTGAGTAAAATCCAATTGCTTTTATTATTAACCTGATCTATACAAAAATTAATGAAATAAAACTAATAATTTAATGCCAAGTTAAGGCAAAATGTATTCCGGACATTTTATAAAATTAGTATAAATATGGATTGGATGTTTGCTGAAATAAATTTGTTGATACACGTTAGCTATTAAAGTAAATCCATATATTCCTTTATTGTTTTTTTATAAACAAGTTTCTGCTGGATTACTAATTTAAAAAAAGGTTGGTTTAGTAATAATCTTTATCATAATAATATAGGATCCGTATGCAGGGCTAAGCCCTTTTCGGAATTACAATATATTTTTCAACTTATAGTTTTTCCGGATATCCAACTTCTATGCCTACAAGTTTGGGTGTAATATTTTAGATGTTTTAAAAATATTAAAATAGTATATTAATAATATTGAAAAGTTTAGGCGCGATAGTGACATATTTTTAAGCTCTTCACTCAGTAAAATGAAAAGTTTAAAAAAAAAAAAACGACTCAGCTTAAAGCAAAATTAAGAGTAGAATATATTCCCAATATTTACCTAAACAATTTTACGGAATTTGATAATTTGACATCGATGTTCTGTGCATATAATTTAAGTCGTTTTTAACTACTACATCGTTGTGATTTGCGCATTCAATGTCTGAACATTGCAAAAGAAATGGTTAACTTTATCTTTAATGAAGCTAAGAGTTCTCTTAAACTAAGAAGTTAAGAAAAATAAAAGTGAACACAACTAAAAAAATGTATAAATAAAGTTATATTTTGTTAGAGAAAGTAAATAAAGATCAAATTGTTAGTAATGATTTATTTACTACTAACCCGTATTATGGATTGCTTATTGTATAAATAAATTTATATTTTATTAGAGAAAGTAAATAAATATCAAATTGTTAGTAATGATTTATTTACTACTAACCCGTATTACGGGTTGCTTAATGTATAAATAAATTTATATTTTATTAGAGAAAGTAAATAAATATCAAATTGATAGTAATGATTTATTTACTACTAACCCGTATTACGGGTTGCTTACTGTTAGACTGCTTGATTTATTTACTACTAACCCATATTACGGGTTGCTTACTGCTAGTTATATATAAATGATTTATCTTGTTCATTAAAAAAATGTTAATGGTACATCATTATGCTGATGATACCAATCTTTTATATATCAACAAATCCCTCACGACTCATTGTAAAAAAGTTAATCAAGATATTCATCGCTTATGTAACTGGTTTAATAGTAACCATATTTCCTTGAATGTCAATAAAACTGAATACGTTATTTTTCATTCCTCTCAAAAAAATATTGATCATATTAAAATTAAAACTAATGGTAAAAAACTTTTTCTATCAAAATATATAAATCTTGGAATATATCTTGATAAAAACCTATCTTGGTATAATCAACTGTATCATCTAAAAAAAAACTTACACGAGCTAACAGAATGCTTTCTCTAATTCGTTACTGTTCCTATCCAATCTCTTCAAATGATTAATTTTTCTTTATTCTCTTCTCACCTTTGCTATTGTTGTATTGTTTGGGGTCAAAAAAGAAACTTTTTACTTACTAACATTGCTAGTTTACAACGCGAATCTATTAGAATAATGACATTTTCCCCAAAGATCTGAGATCTGATATCGAAAAAAAAATTTCTGAACTAAAAATCCTAAAACTCAATAATCTTTTAAAGTTTTACAATTGTCTTTTTGTGTTTGACTTTCTCCAAAATAAACTACCAAGCCCGTTTTCAAATTTTTTATTAAAACAAACGAATTTCATAATCATCACGCCAGGAATACAGAAAATAGTAAGCTATACTATTTATTTTTTTCAACACAATCAAATATGGTAAGTTTTCCATAAAACAACAATGTATTTCTCAATGGAACCAGTGTATTTCTGCATTAATAAAAAAGTCTAAGAAAAAATATCCACTTGTTACGAATATTTTACTGCTCAACAGAATTCAATTTAAAAATATATTGTTGGAGTGTATTTCTTTATAATTTCTCTCTGAACTGTAGTTGTCTTCAATATATAATCTCTTTAACAAACAAGTGGTTTGATTTTTATTTTATTTATTATATACCAATCTTATATTTATTATTGTGTTATTAATGTTACATTTTATGTTATATATATATATATATATATCTAATTATCATCTATGATTTGTATATACAATTTATATTGTATTATAATATTCTTAATATTATTGGTACTTTATTACTATTACTTTTACATATACCATTATTATTTGTTTAACAATCTTTTCTTCTTTTCTCTCTTATTTATATATACAGATATTGAGTTTTTCCTTTTGTTTTGTTTTTTTTGTTTTTTGTTTTTTTATTTTTTTGTTGTTTTTTTTTTGTTTTGTTTGCTTTTGTTTCTTTTATTTTTTTTTTTCCTATTAATTTATTTATCTATTTTTTCGTGAAATTTTTATGTTTTTTAGGTGTCACTCCATTGACTAGTTTGTAACTATATGAGTGACACCTAACCAATTTATATTAATTTACGATGATATTTGTAAACTTTATTGATATGGTTGAATATATATATATATATATATATATATATATATATATATATATATATATATATATATATATATATGTATATATATATACATATATGTATATATATATTTATATATATATATATATATATACATATATATATATATATATATATATATATATATATATATATATATATATATATATATATATATATATATATATATATATATATATATATATATATATATATATACATTCTAATAAATTTTTAGTTTAAAAAAATAATTTGATCTTACATGTCTCAGCAGCAAGATACAAAGGTGTTCTCTCTTTATAATCTTGAGCATCAACCTTAGCACCCAATTCAAGTAAACTAACTATTGAATTAACTGAATTGTATTTTGAAGCAAAATGAAGTGGAGTTTGATTTTCATTAAATGTTGTGGCATGAATATTAGCTGAAAAGTAAAATAACATATTTTTAAATATTACAAATTTTATTTAACTATAATAAATAATATAAAATATATTAAAACAAAGATTACTTTTTAGTTTATATATAAATATATACCTTCTATAACTTGTTTAAATAAACATTTACTAGCTAAGTCTTTATAGCATAGAACGTTTTCAAAAAAAAAAAAAAAAAACGAATAATGAAAGAAAAGATTGCTGCCCCATTCCTAACCGTCAGTCAATGTAGCAGCACTCCGCTGCGAGTCAGGCTATTTGTCAGATTTCAGTCAGAGTAAGACTATATTTCAGGTTTCATCAAGCTTATATAGAATAAAATCAAACCAAAGGAAAGTATGAACACTGTTCTAATTTCATGTTTGAAAATGAGTTTGATACCATTTGGTCAATAATTCTAATATATTTATCAATTTTTAATAAATATTTTAGCATTGATCTTCCAGGCTGTAAACAACAACACCATATTTAAAAAAATACAATTTTTAGCCTAACCCCTTTATTTTATCATAAGTGTATTTGTATTTTTAGGTACTATATTAGATATAGATTTATGATAATTGAAAAAATTAAGGGATACTTGCGGCTTTAGGTCAAAATTAAGGTCAAAATCTTTGCATATTTTTGAAGCATGTTATTTAGACAGACCAAAATGTTTACTTTACCTATTTTTATTTTAGTTCTAACCTAACCAATAAACAATAATCAGGTAAATATTCATTGAAAAGTGTATAGTTTGTTTTATTTGCTTAAGTTTAAAAATGCTTTCGACACCATTTGGTCAATATTCTTAAAAAATTTGACAAAAACAGTATATCAAATCTCATTTATCGCACATTTTTCATGTAGTTCATTTTGAATGCTATACAATAATAAATGCAAATATTATTTTTTAACAATTGCAAATTTGTTTGATTTTTGTTTCCGGTGTACTTTGCATGGAACCTAACCACATTTTTTATATAGAGGAACAGGGAAGAGGGGGAGGGTAAAGGAGAGGCTTTATACAGGAGGCAATTTGCCACGGCTGTTTTACACAAGGTCGAACTGGCAAGAAAGGTTGGGGGTTCCTTACCCCCTCCTCCAGGCCTCTGCTATGTCTAAATGTCCAGGCACCTGCTATGTCTAAATTAATAATAACTAATTATTGTAAATATGCATCAATTTTTATTTTTCTATACTCTTGTAAGAAAAAACTAAATAAAAATTAAGGGTTTAACGTAGATATCTAAGGGGCGCATATGAAAAACGTTACCTAAAAAAAAGAAAAAAAGTCCTTTATATATAATATAGGGAAATTTTTATATATAAGGTGGCTCTGCATCTGTCTCCCCGGGCCCTTAATGCCAGCCCGACCCTGGTTTCATTCAATGTAAAATTGGGTATTATGTCACAAGGTTAGCAAAAAAAAATCTTCGCTCAAAAAGTATTTAAAAATGCTTAAAAACAATAGTACTTTTTTTTCTATAAATGCTTTCATCTTCTAATAAAAAAGATATGAAAGATCTATTTTTCCTTGTTAAATAAATATTCGCATTAAACAAAATAAAAATAAAAGTTGTAAAAATATTGCTAATGATATAGGATCACTTTTATGTTTTTTGCAATTTTTACGAAAATCTGTCAAATCTGTTAATCAAGATTTGATAACATAGCTACATGTTTGATGGTTGAAATTTGAAACACTTTTTTAATGAATATCTGTTCTATCGTGTTCTATAGTGTATATAAATTTTAAAAAAACGTCAAAAAAACCCAAATAAAAATGAAGGAGAGAGTTTATGTTATATAATCTGTAAAAAGAATAAATTAAAAAAAAAACAACTAAAAGAAAAAAGAAAAAAGAAAAGAAAAAGATAAGAAAAAAGAAAAACAGAAGAAACCAAAAAAAAGCGGAAGAGAAGAAAGAAAAGATCAAGTAATAGAAGATGATTTTGTAGCTAGTCTTTGTTGTAATAATCATTTTTTTATTTTTTTAATTATCATTTTTTAATTATCATTTTTTATTTCAATTATTATTTATACTATATACTTATTTTTATATTAGATTATTATTTATTCATTTTACAACTTCATAATATATATTTATATCATTCTTTAACAACTTAATTATCAGTTTATTTATTAATTAAACTATTACTCTATTAATTTATATTTCTGTTAAACTTTATTAAATTTTTTATTTATTTAAATCATATAATTCTTATTTATTTAAATCATATAATTTAATTAAATCATATAACTTTTATCAAAATTTTGTTTGATGATTGTGTTATTGTTAATAATATCATTGTTAATATTACTTATTATAACTGCTTTTGTTTCAAGTTAATTTGCTATTCTTCCTTATAATTATACTTACTGTTATTGTTTGAATTAACGATTATTATTACAATAGCTACTATTTTTACTTCCTACATAATATCTCTTATTCTATTGCAGAAATTACTCATTTTCATTGTTCTACTATGGCTTTAAATTGTTATTTGTGTAAAAAAAAATAAGTCTTAGTTGCCGATCAATTCACTGTGAGATTTGTTCTTTTTGGACTCATACAAAATGCAACAGGCTCAATGATTATGGGTGCAATTTACTACAATTAGGTCGCTCAATGCGATATTGTGTAAATTGTACTAAGAGTATATTTCCATTCACAGATGTACCAGATATTGAATTTAAATTATTTTTTTCTTCTAATAAAATTAGTATAACTGACGATTTACCTTCGTCTACTAACATCTTTCCATCGTTACATTTGAATAAAATCTCTAACCAAATTAATGACTATGTTTCATCTTGTGTTTTAAATTCTGATGAATAAATCTATGCATCACTAGACATAACTTGTAAATATTATGACATGGACAAAATTTGCTCCCTAAAGTTTGACAAAATAAACGCACTTCCTTATTATCGCCTAAACATTTCATCGCTGCAAAAACATTTTGCGGATTTAAACATATTTTTATAATTATTTTTGAGTTTTCTATTATTGCTGTTACTGAAACACGTTTAAAAAAAAATTCACCTAATTCATTCAATTTTCAACTACAACATTGAGCATACACCAACTGAATCTTCCTGTGGGGGGACATAGTTATGCTTGTCAAAAAAGTTAATATACAAACGAAGAGATGATTTGATGATTTATTCATCTAATTTTTTAAAATCCACTTTTGTTGAATTAATTTTTTCAAAAAAATCCATATTTTGTTATAATTTTTTTCTATTACTATAATAATTATTCTTATTTTTTTGTTTGTTTTTCTTTTCTCTTTTATTATTACCTACATACATTTAAAAAGTTTACTTTATGTGTGTCTATGTTTTATGTTTTATGCCTATGTTTACTATTAGTCATACTATTTTAAAAAATGATGTCACTCCTTTGATCAGACTTCTGTATGAGTGACACCATCCATACTAATCATTAACTTATTATAATAAGAAATAACATATCATTTTAATTATTATTATTATAGTAATTATTATTAATTATAATTATTTTTTTCTTTAGTATTACTATTATTATTTTTATAAATTATTACTATTGCTTATTATTTTATAATTATTATAGTTATTATTATTTACTTTATTATTGTAAAATGATTTTAAAAATGGAAAATAAATAGCTTCTTGTTGTTGTTGTTGTTATCTAGATTTTCGCAGATTTTGATAACTTGGTTTGTTTTTAATATATTTATATTTTTGTTTTTATTGGTTTTTAATTAAAAAACGAAATATTTTAGTAAAGTCTGTGAAATTAGCAATACTTCAACCTTGTATAAATATGAAAATTAAAAAATTGTCAAATACGATTTAGGGGTTGGCAATTAATTACGTCAACAAAATAGGGGGAGGGGGTGTGAACTTTTTTGACAACTCGCGAGGTTATAATTATTTTGTTGTATCTCCACTTTTTTTGTTTCGAGATAAAACGATTTAAAAAATAAAAACTTTAGGAGACGGCATAGGGAAGGGAGGGAGGTAACATAAGTAAGGGGAGGGGGGAGGTAACATAAGTAAGCAACAGTTCCAAAAACTAGAACCAGCATAAGTACGAACTAGCATAATTTGAAACATGAATAAGTTTTTACAAGTTTCGCACTTATAACAGTTTGCACTTATGCCAATTCCCTCTTAAGCTAACGTTTTTGCATATTCCCGCTTTTAACTTTAATGCGGTGTTAGCAATTTAATGATCAAAAACAGAAAACAATAATACTTGTTCTGTTTAGAAATGGTAAAAATTTGAAATAGAGGTGGTATACATGACATAGTTTCACCAAAAAAATGATGATTTATCCCCAAACATAGCCACATAACATTTTGTTAACACTAACTTTTAATATAAAATAACATAATATCTTTTGAGTACACTGATATATTAAACTAGTTAAAATTTTATTTTTTAATTTAAATACAGGTAGCAACTCTCTGTGTCAAGCTCTAGTTCTAATATCTTGCATCTGATTCAACAACTGACAAGTCTGCTTCGGTCACTTAATTCATAGCACGTTCGGTACTTTGAACATAAATTTAAACTGAAGAAGTTATTAGACAGAGCAGCTCTGAATTGAGAGATTGTAACAGCTGCCATAACTTACCAAAACATTAAACTACACGAATATTATACAGTGACGGTGTTAGGCACCGGCGACGTTAGAGACTGCTGACGGCTTCGCGCTTGAAGGAGCTCGCAAAAATATACTAAAAAAAAAATATTGTATCTTAATTAAAATTGATAATATTTTTACATATCATACTTTGCTTTACTGGATGAAACTATGTTTATTTGTCGGTTTTATCATCGGTATTATATTACTTCAACTTTAAATAAATATCATTTTCTAAGTATCAATCTTTTTTTTTTTATTTGCATTAACTCCCAACAAGGCTGCAAGCAACCACTATTAAGTTGGGAGTTACTAGGAAAAAAAAGAACAGATTTATAGAGCAAGGAAACGGTTGGCAGAAGACTTGAAAA